TCTGTCTGTCTGTCTGTATCTGTCACTGGATCGTAACCTCGGAATCGACTCCGTCTCGTCCTCCAGCTCTGAGAGTTTCGGTGGTTTTTCTTTGCTCGCTTTCAGAGTGGAAATGTTGACTCTGTCACATTCTTGTGTTCGGGCTCTTTTTCGGTTTCACGCCGCCGTTAAAAGCCCGTCGGGCCTCGTAAACAAAAGTCACATGACGGATCAATTAGCGGACTTAATGGACGGTGAGTGTTGGAGGTGCCAGGAATTAAATGTAAATATGTTGCCACAGAAAACTTTAACTGCGGTTTGGTAGAGCGGTCACAGGGGTGAGGAACCGAGTATTGTGGGACATCAAAACTAGGCCGAGAGACTGTCCTGGTTCTCAGCGTCTCCGGCGGGGACTTTATTTCTGTCTGTCCACCTTCAACTGCTCGGTTCTGACTGGATCAACACTGCAGGCGGGTCAGGCCACTGGAGCGTGCTGCTTTTCCACCAGACTCTGTGAAGAAAACGGTGAATTTAACAGACCTGTTTCACTGTACAACAGTTCAGCACTTTTTAGCCCAACTACAGAGGAACTCAGGCAGTTAACTGATTCTACGTAAATGACATTAAAACCTTCAGGTCATTAAAATGCTGTTTTCTTTAAGTGAAACCCCAACAATTAGAGAAAACACCTTTACTGGACACTCAGTCAGCAGAAGCCTTCGCAAGCAAACCAAAGTGCTGTTTCACTTAATTTATAGTTCAGGTTCAGCCAGAGGTTGTCGGGGCTCAACTGTCGACATTCAGAGGTCCAAAGATTAGAAAAAGAAAGAATAATCCATGTTGTTTTGATAATATCCTTAAATATGGAAAGTCCCAGAGCAGCTGTGGTATTTGTATGTTGAGCCACAGGAGGAAACACGTATATATTGTGGATGTTGGATGTCTGTCGTCCAGCTGTTGGGTTTGTCATCCGTCATGTTATCAGTTGTTTTGAGTCTCTTTGTTTCACACACACTCGTACGACCTCTCGCCGCTTATTAGCCGGCTGCCGCGGCGCCCCGGTGCCAGAGGCCGTTCTGGGGTCAAAGAGCATGTGTGTCCTTGGTCTTAACTCTCCTCCCTCTTCCTCACCCCACTGTTTCTTCCCTCCCTCCTCCTCCACCTCCCCACTTCCTCTTTAGACCCAAATTGGACCTTGTGGCAAGTGTGTGTGTTTTTAGAGGGACGTGCTCCCTTATTTGAACAAGCCGCTGGAAGCAGTGAAGTAGCACATTCCTCCTCGAGCTGGTGTGTGTGTGTGTGTGTTGTGTGTGTGCGTTGTGTGTGTGTGTGTGGTAAAGATGGAGAGTCACATTAGGTCAAAGCTACCCACTCTCCTGTTGTTTGTCCCCTTATTTTATCATTTAAAATTTTAAATCCTTTGGCTTTATTCTATTTATTCTGTTATTTCTCTGGAGGAATTGAACATAAATACCTGTGTGTGTGTGTGTGTGTGCGTGTGCGTGTGTGTGTGTGTGTGCGTGTGGCTCTGCCCCTACTTCCCCCATGAATCCACCCTACTGGCCCCGGGAGTGCCCGTTGGCGTCACATGCGATCTGCCACCCCCCGCTGTTTGTAAAGCCCTTAACCATAAAGACCTTTCAAATCCCATCGGAGAGCGAAACAAGGACGCTCGCTGACGCCACACACATCCAACCACCACACACACACACCACACACACACACACACACACACACACACACACCACACACACACACAACCAACACACACCACAGACACACGCAGATCTGTTGGTGGCTGTCCTCCTCCCCGTCCATGTTCCCCGTTCAGAACCACAGTAGTTTGGAGAACAAAGGAAGCAGTAATCAGAGAGGAAGCGACGCCGAATGCTGCGTGGATGTAAAGATGCCTAATGAACCCTGAAGCGACCTGAACGCCGACCGCTGTGTTTATACCCAACGAAACTCTGTCGCCGAACCGCACACACGCCTCAACATACCTGTGTGCTAAACAAGGATGCCCGACAGTTTCGCGTTTTACA